ATTTTTGTTATTGTGTTTTTAGTTCTAAAATTTCCACTTGGTTCTTTTTTATATCATCTATTTTCCTGCTGAAACTTTTGACATTTCCACCAATTTCTGGAATGGTCACACTTTTTGAAACGTTGTTGTAGTATCTCCTTTAAAGTCTTTGTCTCACAATTCCATCTGTGATGTTTTGGAATTAGTGCCTGTTACATCTTTTCTTATGAAGTGCTGACATTCTCCTGATTTATGTATTTCATGTAATTCTGCATTGCATCCTGGACATTTTGAGTATTATGAGACTCCAGGTATATTTAATTCTTCTGGAAAATGTTGGGTTTTTTTTTTTTTTTCCCACCAGACAATTTAACTGGTTAAGTTGTAATCTCCAGTTCCAGTCCATCTGCTGTGGGCTGTGGTCTAATGTCAGTTCAGTTTCGTAAGCACTTTCGGTGTGATTTGAATCTATCCCATATGACCAGTGTTATACTTGAGCAATGATCTACCCTGTTAGGGTCAGACCTGTATACATACAGTTGGAGTGAGCCCAGGATTGCACAAACGATACTGTGAGATCATTTTCTTAAGCTCCCTTTGTCACTACCCTGGTCTTCTGGCTAGAAATACAAGGCTTTAGGTTCTCTCTGTTATTCTCTCATGGATACATCCACCTCCAGGTCCAAGTAGCCGAAAGCCAGTAAGAGAAGGAAAGCAATAGGGATTCTCTCAACCCTTTTTGGCCCACAGTTCCTCTGACCAGAGATAAGGGTTCTCTCTCTGAGGTTTAGATGCTGCTCAACCATCACTGACCTTGCCACAAGAATGCCTACGAGTTCCAGAGGGTCTCCTTTCAAATTCCGGTTTCCTTCCCAAACCTGCCTGCTATCATTACTTGTCAGGGTCCCCACACAGCCGCGCCACGCATTACTTATATTTAGTGTGAAAGAGAAAATGGAGCGTGCTTACTCCATTTACAGCAAACCAGTACCAATCCAAAGTTATTTTATTTTCAATGATTACATCCTGGAGGATAAACTCTAAACAGGAACTTTCTGAGAACGTAAAGGGAGAATTCTGACTAGAAGTTTCATATTAATCACTTTATCCACTTTTTTCCTCAATTTTTATTAAAAATTTAAACATACAATGACCCATGAACATCTCTATATCCACCACAAAGAAGTTTTCTAATTTTTACATATTTTAAAATATGCGGCAGACATGACTTTTCAAACTTAAAAAATACTTCTGCATGCGCCTAAGAACATTATCCTATATGACCTCAACACTATTATCACTTCTAGAAAAATTAAATATACCACGTAGCTAATACCCATTTCATCTTCCTGTTTCCTCAAATATCCCTCCAGATGTCTTTTATAGTTGTTTTATTTTTTCTGAATCAGAAGCCAATAAAGGAACACACTTTGCATTTGGTTATGTCTCATCTTAAGAGTGCGCTTTTTGTTTTATTACATTGGCTTTTTCAAAAGTCCAGACCGGTTGTCCTGTACAAACTCTGGCTTTGTCTATTTCCACACTGTGAAATTCAACTTGTTCCTCTATTCCTTGTATTTCTTTCTAAAGGAAAATAAGCCTAGATAAGATTTAATTAGATTTTGGTGAAACATTCTGGCAATATATCATAGATGATCACATATGCTTCATATTGCGTCTTATCAGGAGACACATAATGTTGGCTTATTCCGCAAGTAGTATAACTCAGTTTGATAGATCCCATTATAAAGGCAATTCTTTTGCAATTGGCATCTGTGATATTTTGACACTATGTAAACAATATTCCCTGGAAATTTTTTTCACCTAATGGGTTTTATCATCCATTAATTTTTGCCAGACTTAATTAAGGGTTGTAAAATGGTAATTTTTCCAAATCCATCATTCTATGTACATATAAAAGATGGCATTCCTCATATACCTTCAAAAGAGCTTTTTTCCTCTATTTGTCATCATTATGGCCTTCTTTTCCTTCTTAGTGTTATTATCGATTACAGTGATGATTCTTTTCGGTGTTTAAATTGTCCTAAATTTGGCCAGTGGGAGCACTTTCAAGTTGGCTCCTGTGTCTGACATTACCCCGTTAGTATCTGGCTTTTTTTTTTCTTTTCATAAAACGACATACCAGGCACACCCTACACTTCTCCTGCTCCAAATATGGAATCAGCCATTTCTCCAAGGAGCCCTGGTTCCTTACAGGAGGGAATGGCATTTAGAAACCAAAATTGGGCACTAAGCATGCTCACTGCTATTGGGTAAAATGTTAAACATTGAGGTCTGTTTAAAAGCCTCCTTTTCCTTGTAAATACACTTAAATACATAAA